AAAAATCCAGGCGTTAGATTTTTTTCATCATTTGCCCACTACGAATTGACTCTAAATCCCTTCTGTCAACACTCTTCTGATAAATTTTGACATAGACGATTTTTGTAATTCGCTATAAATCATTTTCACTGCATGTTCTGCCGGTATTATTAAAAATTCCCTATGTAAAAATTCAGATTTTTTGTGATACATCATTCAAGTGGTTTCTGAACTATTTTTTTTTGGCAAAATCTCTTGAAATTCTTACGACTGGATCGATAGAAATGGGCAGGTTTCTGCAAAGGCAATCGGTCTCAATTTTTCGAGCAACTGCGCATGTGCTGCAAGGGCCCATTAACCGATCTTTTCAAGCCGTTGCTAAGGAAAATTTATTCTCATATAACTTCATTGTTTTTAGTTAGTTCAGAGTTATTTCATGTGTTTTAACTTTTTCATGATCAGCAACACTAGTGATGACGTCAACAGGCCACGCCCATGGTCATGTGACTAATACTGAAAAAACGCAAAGGTTCCCAGGCAAATTACTTTATCGGGGTTTTTTTCATTGATTTAGTATTTTAAATTAAATCCTCATAACGCTATGCATAGATTTTGTTTCATTTCTAAAAGGTCAAATTTTGAGAGAATTTCAAAGTATTAAAAAATTCGTAATTTTCTGAAAAAAGCATGATTTCGAAAAAGGAATGCATAGCTATGTTTCCAACGTTGGCTTTAATCGAAATTCGTCAAAAAAGCTGGATTTAATGAAAAACCGCGCTTCCTTTAGCATTTAAAGAAACCGGAAGTGCGCCCGACATATATAGAAAGTTACCCTATCAGCGCGTGCGCAATTTACACTACCAGTGCTCTTCATTAAGATCAAACAAAGTCACACGGAGTTAGTTTTTCTCTTTCTATTGCTCTTGTTTTTCTGTCTTTCTCTTATTTGTCTTTGCTTGTACTTTTTTTACTTTGCATTTTGTGAAAAACAAAGAAAAACATCTAAATTGTAAGCGAATTTGCAAGTTATTGAGTTGTTTTTATTTTCCGCGCTCAGGCTGACGTAAGGAACCGGGAGTGAAATTTCACCTCCTTAGCAACGAGCACGAGCGCGTGCATAAATCGGTTAATGGGCCCTTAGGTCATTCCCCAGTATTGCATGGCGCATCCTTACTGCGCATAATTTATGGCGTCATTAGCGCGCGTTCGTGCACGCGCACATTGAAAACATGGTAGATTTGCCTTGATATTGAGTTCTGTCTGTTGAAAAATGGCTATAGCTCACTAACGAGCTCTGGCACCCCAAATTTTTTCCAGCCATTTTAATCAACTAATCATTAGCTTTGCGTGAGAAAAGACTGATCTGATTTCTATGTTTGGAAATTGAA